GCTTACTCGAGACCCGTGGAAGACAGACTATCACTGTCATTCCTTGACATCCCTTATCACTAAAGCTAGACTCACAACACAACCCTTACGCCACAGTGGCGCTTCAAACCGCAGAAAGGCTATAGCGGACGTCAGCTTTTTTTCTATTATATGCTTTCCTATACATTTTATAACTGAAATAGCTATAGTAAATGAAAAACGACCTTTTTTACTACAAATTAGGTAATGTGCATTTTTTACGTCATTGTCACCTTAAAGGCGTAATGTTGCCCCAAAGTGCAGCAACCTCCACACGAACGCATTTTTTTAAAATATCTCGTCTCCTGTGCACCTTATGCCAAAAATTCAACACAGTACCAGTGTCGTGTACTCCTCTCCGCACCACCCTAGATGCATTGTACAGGGCGCGTTATTTTCTCAGTCGTTTCCCTAGTTCCTACTCTAAGGTCTAAGGTCAGTGCCCTAATTGAGTTTGTGTCGCTTTTTTCCTAATGGTCCTGGTTGTGATGTGACTTCATAGCAACGTCGTTATTGTCCACCATTTCGTCCTTCACATTTACGTCGTCAGTTGTATTTACCCCGTAATTTTCATCGACGTCGTCTTTCTCCATAACCTCCAGTTCCAGATTGGTTCAGGCATATTACTACAGCTGTGATCACAGTTTTTGCAGATGATGGAACATTGTAGTCCAGCTTCACGACATCCACACGCACGCGCACGGCTACATTGATTTTTGAATTGGCAGGAAATTAACTGCAATAACTTATTAGGGGCTGGTGGGGCTAATGTAGTAACTGGCAGTAGTTCATCCTTGTCTGCCTTTTACTCCCATTCTACGGGGTCATAGTCATTTCCACACCACTGTTGCACTTGCAGGTATGTGCGCAAGACGTGCTGCGACCTCAGTGGGTGAGAGAGATGCTATGTTGAATTTTGTTTTATATGCGGACTTTACAAAACAGCGATTACGGTAGTTATGTTACCACCGCCACCTGGTTGCGACGGTTGGGTAAGAGAGACTTTGTTTTAGCACTGGTAAAGGCTTTTTTGTAATGCGGTAGCGTGCCACCAGAGACTTTGTTTAATGTCCCACTGAAAATCTAGGTACCTAAATTTGAACGGATACTTTTTAGTAATCTGATTAGATTGCCTCTTCTAGTGCGGGTTCTTGCTACCTTAGCTGTACGCAGTTGGTTGGAATGCTAGCTCGGGGTTTTCCAAAAAAAATAAAAGAATCAATTTTTCTTACTGAATTCTAACAATGGTTTATTGAACAAATGGTACCAAATCTTGGTGAGAAAATGAAAGAAAAGCAAAGAATATACAGTAAGTTATTAACAAGTTATATGTACTGAAATGAAATGAAAGAAATTACATACAGAGCTTTGGAATGATAGGGTGTGAGATTAATGAGCTTCCTGTATAGAGCGTTCCTTGATGATACAGGTTACATGAGAAATTAAAAATTAATACAGAAGATACAGACTAGGTTATAATTCTTAGTGGGTGCAAGTCACGGGCGTCCTCGACAACGGAATGACAAAACGGCCTCGTTATTCAGGGTAAGATACATGTTGGAAAAGAGATTTGAGGTGTGAAGCTAATCCAATGGTTTTGTTCTTTACACAGGGGAGAAAATAAATAATAGACAGAAAACCACAATTATGATGAATAAATTGAAATACATAAAATTGACACATTACTTAAGGTCTCGGAAAGAGAGTCAGAGAAAGACGTCAACACTGAATCAATCTAGAAGACTCACAAACTTATTTATATTGGCATCTTGATGACGCCTTTGGGATTCTTATCGGTCGCAAAACATGTGGTTTGTTCGTGGAACCAGGAGTAGAGAGTCTTATTTTAAGACACATTCAGGACACTGTTTCGGGATCCAACTGATAACTCTTGGCTCTTGACACGGTTTCGTCGGAAATTTAGCGACTTAATCTCGCTGGGAAAACCAATTAATTGTATTACGAAGCAAAAAAAAGGATTTTGAACCATGTCGGTATGTTCTGGGTGTGGTGAAGCAGAGATTAGACAAATTATTTTGTAAATAAATGCGATTATTCCGCAAAACTTGAAATAAAAAACTATGCGTACAAAAAAATGCGAGTTGTCTATAATAAGGTCTCTATAACACGGGTCTCTAAGCGGTTTCGGCGGCTGTGACGTGAAAAATCAGTACCGCACTTAAATCAGGACAGCACTTAGGCAAATTTCAAAAGTAAACTGAATTTCTAGATTAATTATTATTTAAACAAGTCATTGCGAAACACAGGCTAAAGGCTCATATTGATGGGCCCTCTGCCTGTCTCACCAAATAACTACCGCGCCTGAACAGACGCGAGATACGGCTGGGGACTGGTCTCCTAACCGGACATTGGCACCTAAGACGCCATCTCCACAACATGGGCATTACGGACGACCCAGAATGCCGCAGGTGCATGGAGGAGGAGGAGACGGCAGACCACGTCATCGATGAGTGCTCTGCACCCACGTGCGCGGGATTCAAGCACCTTGGCAAGTTGTATTGCTTGCCCGATGACTTCAAAAGGATGGAGCTAGGGTGCCTGATTGGCTTTTCCAAGGAGTGGGGCACGACGGGTCCACCACAGGAGACCTATGTGCACTACGGTTGCGGCCGCCCACTCTTTCATTCATCATCATTCATCATTCATCAAGATTGAAGACGGAAGAGGAAAAGGCAAACTATAAAAACGCAATAAATTCAGTTGATAATATTAATTTATTCATTTATTTTAGGCACCAGCTCCAGTGTTTTTATACTCCCAGAACCTATTAAAGTGAATATCGTCCATATTTCTATTGGCGGCTGTATTTCCTGCAAACTTCCTGCCACTTGTGGCTGTATCCCATGGAGCGTTCACATTGACAACATCCACAATTTCAGTTTCTCTTATAACAAGTTGGCCATTAGGATTCACCGCTGCGAACAAACAAAACTAATGAGGCTGAGAATCAAAAAGACAAACTTTCTTACTTGAACTAGCATCCCAAGCTCTACCCAAATGACAGCCCTTCTTAGCCTTGATGTTCTTAGCGGCGGTTATTTTGCTCTTCAGAACCAAGAAGCCATATTTTTGAATGTTTGGCGTGTTTGGAGCAAAAACTACAGCCGAATCTCTAGGCCTGTCACCTCTGGCAATAATTTGAGCTTCTTCAAATACTGCCGAAGCTGATCCGAAGATAAAATCAACATCTCCAGTAATAATAGGCTTTTTGAAGTACAATCTTTTACCACTTGCGAATAAAGTGTCCTATAGTTTTGGTAAATGTAGCATTGTCATATTTAATATGAAAGTTGCTTACTTGGAATCCGTAGAAGTAGACACGATCCCAGATTTGTTTGTCTCCATCGGCTCTGGCAGCTACAGCTTGGCTATCCTTACAGGGATTTTCGATTGTAACGTAAGCAATTTCTAAATCATCGTTCTCGGCCGTAACTACACCGGAACAACTGGTTCCTATAATGAAAATCTCGAAATTGATTTGCCAACTTCTACAGACTACTTAGTGGTACCCCAATTGCATAAGAATGAAGAATTTGTTATAATTTTTAACAGCGATCTTGAGAATGAGGAGAATTAATAAAAAACTACATTGATCCATATTCTAAAAACCCAATGGTTCGGCTTCAAAGATCTCTAAACTGTTTGCGAAAAAAAAACTCTTAGTTTGGGCTGTATTTTCTCAGAAATACTCAGGTACTCGGTTTTGGGTTATTTCTGAGGCAAAATGGCACGATGGTTTGCGTCATTGTTTTCTAAGAAGAAAATGGAAAATTGTACCTACTCATATATTGTCTGTCGTTTTTAATCTGACACTTTTTGCATGAGGAGCGAGGGGGTGATTCTTACTTAGTTTCTAATTCAAAAGTGATCATCAGGACTCAGAATTTCACGCTGATTCAATTTAATTCTGGCTCTAATAGGGCCGCGAATATTGAATTCATTCGTTTTTATACAAAAATAGTTTTTTCCAGAATCTTCTGGGATTGGATATTGTAATTTTTTTTTCTTCTGAGCTCTGAAGCCTCTGGCTAATGGTTCTTGAAGCTCAGAATCAGAATCGTTCGTTTCTATACAGAAATAGCTTTCTAGAATTGTATTTTCTTCTGTAGCCTCCTGGGCAATAGTTCTTGAAAATCAGAATCATCATTAATTTCTATACAACAATAGTCTCTTTCTAAAGCTTCTGGAATTGGATATTGTAACTTTTTTTTGCTTCTGAAGCCTCTAGCTAATGGTTTGTTGAAGTTCTAAATTATTCGTTTCTATACAGAAATAGCTTTCTAGAATTGTATTTTCTTTTGCAGCCTCCTGGGCAATGGTTCTTGATATTCAGAATCATTATTCGTTATTATATAAAAATAGCCTTTTCTTAAAGCTTTTGGAATTGGATCTTGTAACTCTTTCTTTTTCCGAGGCTTTTGGATAATGGTTTTTGATGAAATTGACAATCAATAGAATATAAATATATGGCTCTATGATGTTTGAGAGAATTTCAATTTGTTGTAAATAAGCGAGAGGTTCTATTTGGAACTCTGGAATGTTTTAGAAAACATGAGAAATCTCCCAAACATTTTTTGATTACTATAAAAATTCAAAATGCATAACATTATACATGATTTCTTACCAATTGTATCTCTGCTAGCGCAATAATGGTACATTTTCCAAGCCGGATCTCCTTCTTTATAGACGGCACCGTGCGGGTTCACTTGTTGAGCATATTTGGAACCACTCAAGGCAGCCCCTTGCGTTAAAACAATATGCACATCCTTGGGTTTACCTTTGGTACCGTAAATAGTTATCGGCACAGAAGTTTGCGGTATCAAAACTGCTTGTTTGTAGGTACCTGGCAAGATTCTTATATACTTTCTTTTGGTACCTCCTGCCTAAATATTAACTGTATATGATAATCAAATGAAAATTGTATTTGCATATGCTTACCTTTATGGCAGCATTTACAGCTTCCTGGATGGTACCATAGCCGCCTTTGCCCACAGTGTAGTCGGCTTTGTCAGTTGATATTTTACCCGGAGTCCATCCTTGTAAATAAGCTTTTTTGGTGTAATGTGAAGCTTCAGCATCAGTTAATACTGGCCTGGTTTTAGTACCGGGGGCTTTTTGATGGTCAGCAAATGCCACAGCAACCAAAAAGGCTAGCAGGATTTGGTACAGCATTTTTCTTCAGTGATTTTCAATTGGATAACTATAGGTATCATTTTCATCATATTTCCTTTATATATACAAGGTTTCAAGTGGATTATTTTTGAATAAGATAAAAAATACCGACAAAAGGTGCTTACAGGGACACTTTTTCTATAAATATCTAAATAGGTAATTTGAAAATTAGTTTATTATTTTAACTCAATTGGTTTGCAACTTAATAAAGGTTAAATTGTATAAGTTTTATAAAAAAATTCCCACACTTTGGCCAAAGTTCAATGATAATAATCTAATATCTCTAGAAAAGGTTATATTGTTTGGTTAAAATAGTACTTTGATTCATAATAGTTTTGTACATAAAAATAATAAAATATAGTAGATTCTGGAAAACTTTTCTTGGCTGACAAAAACATTTCTGAAAATTTCGAAATTCTTTTGGTATCTATCTTTTAGGTTTTTTTATTTTTTTTTTTTCTCTTCTTCTTCAGTCGTTTTCCATCCACTGCAAGATGTAGGCCTCTTTCAATACTTTCCAATCGTTTCGGTTTTGTGCTCTCTTTATCCAATTTTTATCCAATCCAATATGTTGTCGGTCCACCTTTTAGGAGATTGACTCACTGAACGTTTTGTTAGGCGTGGTCTCCAGCATAGTAGTCTTTTCGTCTATCTCTCTCCTGATTGTCTGGCCAAGTGTCCGGCTCAAGACCATTTAGAAATGGATATTTTCTCGACGATGTCAGTCATACCTTCGTTTGTCGACGCATGTCCTCATTCCTAATGTAGTCGCGAAGGCTGATGCCCATCATGACTCTTTACATTGCTCTCTGAGTAACCCGTAGTCTATTGGCACTTCGTGTGGTCACCGTCATAGTCTCCAAGCCATTACCAGTAAAACGCATTTATCGGAAACGTCTCTTTTTAGGTTGTTGGGAACTTTGCTCTTGAATATATAGTTCAGTCTACCAAAAACTGCCCATCCAAGTTTAATCCTTCTCGAAATTTCAGTTGTTTAGTTATTTTTACCGAGTCTTATGGCATGACCCAGATATACATACTCTTTGACGTTTTCGATTCTTTCGTAGCGCCCGCTTTGGTATCACTGTTTAAGATGTTGATTGTTGGCGAGCGGTTTCCAATTTATTACAGTTTTTTACCAGAGTGGCTACAGTGGTAGGGTTCGTAATTGCTAGGGGTGGAAATAAGTACACAAATCCTCTGCATTTCAAATGGTTAATATCTCTTTATTTATATAATCAGGTAACACACTTCTTTACTCCAAGACTCAGGAGCTTATCTCTTAAATTAGTAACATTTCATCAAGTCCTTTAAAAGCTTTGCTTTAAAATAGTAACTTCAATTTCAAAAACATTTCAAGTCCCTTATTTATAATCAATCGCTAAGTATTTGATACTCTTTAAAGTTTATACGATTTACTAGCATAAAAATAATTCGAGTAGTGGATGTATATTACTAAGAGTCAATGGATAAAGTTATAAATCAAATCTTTAAAGTTCACAATTATCTAAGTCCACAATTTAAGTTCACAAGTCAAGTCCACAAAAGTATTTACTTTAGTATACAATGTTCAATTCTCTTCCTATAGGGGTGTCGTTACTTGTCGTTGTTACACGTTATTTATTTTACTAGGGATCCCGAATTTAAATGTTCGATATCTGATAATAGTCTAGGAGGCAGTGACGATTTTCGGTACTTATTTTCCCAGTCAGACAACTTGGATAGAATTGTAGGGTTAGTAATTCTAAGCAACATACATATATTTTTAGGGGGGATTTTCCGATGGGTTGAGGCGCAAAATGCATTAAAGCTTACGATGCATGGCCCTTTTTTTTTCTCAGTGTCTACTAATGAGAAGTATACTGAAGTTACGCAAAAAGATAGTCCGACTAATCTGTGAGTATAAATAATACGTTTGGCAAGTGAAAAATTGAAGATCCGAAAATGTTCAGCCAGACTCACTTTCATTATCTGAGATAAGCCAAATTGCTATTTTCATATACATACTTTATGTTCTATTGTAGTAAATGTGAAATATTTATGTCTGGAAAAATAAGCGTAGTTGTATTTTTCATTGATCTTGTGAACCCATCCGAAAATTTTAGCCAGACTCAAAAATTCTTGCTTTGTATCACCAGAAGAACAAACTATTTCGTAGACACTAACTGGGGAAATAAGTGCTAAAAAATTTCACTGCCTCCTAGACTATAACTACTTCACTGGTTTTCACGATTTAAGAATTTTCTTACTCCGATTCAAGAATTTCCTATTATCGTAACTTTGTTTAGAGTGACACCGAAATTTACTGCTTTACTACATTTTCAAAAAGTGACTTATTTCGACTCAAACTTCGGACCGTTCTGTATTGGCTGACTGAAACGTTGAAGAGATTCAATTAATAAAATAATTTTCGGTCAATAACCCAAACATTCTCATAAATATTTACAAGGGTCTAGTCAGATCCCATTTGGAGTATGACTGCCAAGCTATATACCACACAAGTTAGGTTAGCTGAAACAAACTTACGACAGAATTCAATACCAAGCACTAAGAATGGTAACTACACCTTTTCCATATGTATTTCAGAAACCGTCAAATTAATTTCAGAAAGCGTCAATTGCAATTTAGATTGGTAAATTGTATTTCGGAAAGCGTCAATTCTATTTCAGATTATTTAATTTTATTTCGGAAATAGTCAATTGTATTTCAGCTTAGTTTATTTTATTTCAGAAAGTGTCAATTGTATTTCAGATTAGGTAATTTTATATCGGAAAACATCAATTGTATTTCAGATTAGTTGATTGTAGTTCAGAAAATGTAAATTACATTTTAGAAATTGTCAGATGTAGTTCAGAAATTGTCAGATGTAGTTCAGAAATCATCAGGTATCTACGGATATTTTCCCAAATCAACACAAGGTAGGTGTATAGGTGACTCATTATAAATTTTATTTATTACACCACATTGATAATATCTGAAATTGTTCACGAAAATTTGCGTTAGGATTTTGAAAGTTTAAAGAGCAGCGGGACTGTAGCGCTAAATTCAATTTTGCCGCACAAATATTAATGGACATAAACCCGAGCCATACAAAGACAATGGAGGATTGGCACTTACTTGGTTTATGCTGGTTTTCGTCGATCTAGAGGAGCTCTTCGTGTCCAGAAAGTCTGCTTCTCAGCGACACACCGATACAACACAGTCTTAGAAAAAATAATAAGGAATTTTTGCCTTGAATTCGATAGGTTTTTGATTTTTGATAACGACCGAAAAAGCGGACGTGGTTTTAGAGACACGGCTTCGTACTGCTTCCTACTTCCTTCTCATAAATCACATATTTTTCACATACGCCGAGTCTGCGCGAGCGGTGCCAATTTTGATTTGAACTTGTATGGCTTTTAACGGTTTTTTCTTTCGTATTTTTGAATGAATATATAAAATAACAAAGTTGCATGAACAGAAATACATTTGACATATTCTGAAATACAATTCACAATTTCTGATCTACAAATGAATAATCTGAAACCCAAATGACGATTTCTGAAATATAAGTCACCAAACTGAAATAAAAATAACACTTTCTGAAATTTTACTTACACAACTTCTGAGCTAGAATTGATGAATCTGAAATACAAGTGATACATTGTGAAATACTTATGGAAAAGGTGTAGATGTATGAGAAACACTCCGATATTCCGTTTACTCTCAGAAGCGGCAGATATTTCTCTTAAATTACAAAGGCTATGCGCAAAGTTTGCCTTGAAGAAATTAGCAACTAAAAATGATTATTTAAATAAAAAACTGAAATTCAAGATATTGGCAAAACAAACAGTAACCATCAATGATAGAGGGAAAGGATTTTGGGTTGTCGATAATTGAGAAATTAGAAAAATCGGAAAATCTACCATGTGCTTTAAATTTGAACTGGATCTACAAATGAGAGAAATAGCTTGAGTTGATTCATTGATAGGAAACCACGATTTAGATAGTAGATAGTCAAAACCAACTTCAAGAAATAATAAATAAGCATCATCGAGGATTCGAATACATCTACACGGATGCCTCCCTTGACTCCACAACACTGGAGAATGTGGAACAGGTGTGTATAATAGGACAAAAACAGAAGAACTATGGATAAATGTGTGGATCATATACTTGCATTTGTACTGCAGAGATTTTGGCAATATACTTACATAGCACTAAAATGCAAAAAAAGTGCATTGTCGCCGGGTGTGAATACTCTAGAAAACCGCTTGAAGATTTTGCTAAGGTTTTTTTGGGAATGAGGTAGAGAACGAGCAGAGGATATTGATGGCATCAGAAGGATTTGGATTACAAAAGACGAGAGTTGTTGCAACTGGTAATGGAGAAGAAAAGTTAAAGAGTTTTGGTTTACAGAATGTGGTGTAAGCCATGAGCAACATTTTGGGTTTCGACTGGGTAATGGTGATACGAAATGTGTCTTCTGTGAGAAAAGTCACCATGGACTTCAAGTTGTTTCTGGGCCCAAAGTTTCCCCTTGGAAAAAAGGAAAGAGATTTTGACCGGAAAAAAAGCATGCTTCAGGTGCTTGAAAGTTGGTCATCAAGCCCATAAATGACGTGGCGGATTTAAATGCTTGCTTATTTTGTGGCAAAAGCCATGCAGTTTTGATGATGAGATGAAGAAAATAACCCTTCAACAAGAAGTAAGACTCCTGAAACGTAACTTTCGTGCAATGTTGCTTCCAGAAGTTATGTGTTTTTACAGACTTTAAAGGTAAAAATTTTAAAAAAAGAGTGAGAGCTCTAATTTATACTGGATCCTAACGCTCATATATTTTGAAGTTCACAGCACAGGCGTGAGCAACTGGTGACCAAGTCGACGGAAAAGAATATGCATTGTCTCTTTGGTGGTGTTTTGTCAGAACAGTCGCATACGAGATTCATTTATTGCAGGATAATGGTTACATTTGTCGGTTTGATGTATTAGATGATAGATCAGCCTAAGATTTGCTGTGAAGTTTCGAGTGTTTTTCCTGGAACCTGGTTGCAGGAATTGTTGGACTTAGAAATTAGTGATGTGGGACTCTCTGACACTATTGAGTTGTTGATTGGTTCTGATATAGCAGGAAATTTATATACAGATCGGAGACTGATGCTCAAAAGTGGATTGGT